AGCAAAGGGATTATCTACTACCAGTCTTACTTATTAACTTTCTTTATGTTTATATCTGTGACACGAATGTACAAAGTTAAAAGCAATTAAATTGATTTGTCTCTGGGTAACTACTACAGGAAATTATTTACCTTTTTTTTATGTAGACAGACTGTGATGTATACTCAGTATTGTTACCTGTAAAAAGATTCCTCATGTGAACCGTAAATGTATCATGTTGTGCAACAAATTAAAGAAAACAAAATGTCCTGTAGCAATTCATGTATTTTGTATGCCGAGTGCTTTTATGAAGACAATAAAGCACCCATCAGCCGTTTTTGATAATTCTTTATTTTGGTTATATTATATATTTGGTTTATATTATTTGGAAATGTCCTTATAACCCTTCCCAGTTGGACAGTTTTGGCAGCAACAATTGCTTATCTAAGATCATTGCTGGTGTCTTTCCTCCTTGCATTGTGTTAACACACACCTGAATGCTCCAGACCAGCAAACTGCTAAAACTTTGATAACAGAGGTGGTCACAGAGGTGGTCACACTTGCTGATGATTTATAGAGTCGGTCACACTTGCTGATGACCTATTACTCAAGGGCATTACATTAGCAGCACTTGTCTGCTGCTTAGGCTTTTAAATCCCATGGAAGCAGTAAGGGTGTACCAAGTTTTTCACACTTTTTTTTATTTGTTTATTTATTGATCCCTTACATATTTTGGGCCCCTGCCACCCAGGGATGCTGTTCTCTGGACATAAACAGAGATTGGTGAGTGAGAGGGTCTTGTCGTACTGGACATTGAGACCAAGGGCAAGTTGCACTGGTAGCTCCTTAACATGGAGACTTGGAATGGCTTTCCATAGATTCAGAAATGACTCTTCACAGCTGAGGCACATGTTGTGGAGACACCGCAACAGGTGGATGTCGTCTGCAATAGAGTCAGAATTGCACATGCACTGTTTGGAGCTCATTTACTGCCATTGCACCTGTATCAAACTCTGTATGGACAACATATCTGCCATGTGTTACATTAACCACTTGGGCAGCACCCAATCGGTAAGCCTAGAACTTTTGTCTAGCTCACAATATATCTGTACAAGTAAAGTACATTCCGGGGTTGAGCATTGTAGAGGTGGATTGGAATTCTAATTTTCTGGTGACTCCAGCAAGTGGACATTGGACACCTTAGTCTTCTGGGTTTGTGGAGTCCCTTATGTTTCAGCATGTTTGACTCCCATCTGAAAATGAGAGTATCCCTGTTCTACAGTTGGAGCTCAGAACCAGACAAGACAGCCATGGATGCCTTTACCCAGGATTAGATCATGGGCCGCATTTATGCAGGTCCCCCATTTTCCATTATCCTCAGTACAATCATCCAGATCAAATCTCAGAAGGCCTTCCCAGCCCTGGTGTCCACAACTTCTCAAGCCATAGACTACCGCAGAAATAATTCGCTCTTTCCATCTTCTTTTTTGCGACTCAGTGTCACATCCTGTTCCTATCATTCTGGCTATGGCTTCTGGTATCCAGTACTCTTTTTACAATTCTTGTTTAGTTTTTCTTGTTTTTTTGGTTTTCTATTCTATGTCTGGTTTTCTTTATGCTGGGATTTCTGGGTTCATTCATGTAATCCGTCCCTGGAATTCCCAGTCTCCAGGTTTCATTTAAATGTTTGTTTTATGTTGCCACTCCCATTTGTTTTCCATCATTCTTTTTGTTTCAGTGTTCCTTTAGGCAGCTGCTCTAGTCTTCTGCCCTTTCTTGCAGTTAAGTACTATGTGTGTTTTCTTTGGGTTAAGGCAGTGTAGAACCTGCCAGATATGGGGTACATTGGCGTTGTTGGCAGGCTTATGCAATGTATGATCATATAATATGACTAAATCCCCATGATTTTCATATATAGTTATGTCTCCTCTTGTTTTACCTTGTATCTCTTGTCTTGTTTTATTTTGTCTTGTATTCCCAGTTCATGTACAGTTCTGTCCTGCCCTGTTCTTGTTTTCCTCATGTCTTGTGTACATGTTTTGGGTTCTGCTTTCTGTCCTGCTCCGGTTCTGGGTTCTCCTAGTTCTGTCTTGTTTTCATGTACATTGTCCTTTACTTGTTTTAAGAGTTCCTTGGTCTTCATGGCAGTGTTTGGTTAGTGGTACCTCTTGCTTAGGTGTTGCAGCCTCTGGGGCCTTTCGAAAAAGGTGCGTATATGTAATGACAGATCATATGACACTTAGATTGCACACCGGTGGACATCATTTCACTAATCATGTGACTTCTGAAGGTAATTGGTTGCACCAGAGCTTTTTTTGGGCTTCATAACAAAGGAGGTGAATACATACGCACATGCCAATTTTCTGTTTTCTATTTCTAAAAAAAATTTTATGTACATATTTTTCTTATTTCACTTCACCAACTTAGACTATTGTGTTCTGATCCATCACATAAAATTCAGATTAAGAAAACATTGAACTTAATGCTGTAATGTTACAAAATAGGTGAAAAGTCAAGGGGGGTGAATACTTTTGCAAGGCACTGTATTCATGTAAAATGCTCCCTCTGTGCCATCATCTACTTTCAGGACTCTGTTTTCATGCTCCTGGTACTTCATCCATAAGGATCCTGTATCACTGTTGTAGTCTTGTGAAAGACTTGATGGGGAAACTCCTTTCAAGCTCTGTCTTTTGTCAACCTCTGCATTTGTCTACATAAAGTAGAAAATACTTCTCCGGTTATCTCATTGGAATTTTACTGAAGATTTGTATGATCTACACAAAAGTGACAATGCTGCTTTTAATACTTTTTATGAAATATTACTACTACTGTTTATAGACAATAAAAGCATATGGGAACCGGCTGTTAAATCTAAAAAGAACATAAAACAAAAAATAGTGTAATACAGTTTTACGTGAGTATGTATAAACCTTAAAATCAATGTTAATAACAAACATACAATCAAAGCAGCCTCAGCAAACATACAATCAAAGGGGCTGCTTTAATTGTATGTTTGTTATTAACATTGATTTTAAGGACCCTGGGGAAGTCCCTAGTATTGGGACAAAACACGTAGGACCAACTTTTGCTGTTTGTAAGCATTATATTATTATCCATTCACCTTTTATTTATAATAAAGCTGCCAATTTTTTTTTTACTTTCCATCTGGAGTCCTGATTGATAGCAGCATACACTGTACAGACCATGCATTTTATTCCATTCATTCTGTGAGTGCATCTACAGTGCCTTGCAAAAGTATTCACCCCCTTGACTTTTTACCTATTTTGTAACATTACAGACTTAAGTTCAATGTTTTATTAATCTGAATTTTATGTGATGGATCAGAACACAATAGTCTCAGTTGGTGAAGTGAAATGAGAAAAATATATACATAAAACTATTTTTTAGAAATAGAAACAGAAAATTGGCATGTGCGTATGTATTCATCCCCTTTGTTATGAAGCCCATAAAAAGGCAGAACAGAGACCTAAGGTAACCCTAGAGGAGCTGCAGAGTTCCACAGCAGAGACTGGAGTATCTGTACATAGGACGACAATAAGCTGTACGCTCCATAGAGTTGGGCTTTATGGCAGAGTGGCCTAAAGAAAGCCATTACTTTCAGCAAAAAACAAAATGGCACATTTTGAGTTTGCGAAAAGGCATGTGGGAGACTCCCAAAATGTATGGAGGAAGGTGCTCTGGTCTGATGAGACTAAAATTTAACTTTTCGGCCCCCAACACATCACATCAACCAAAGAACACCATCCCCACAACGAAACATGGTGGTGGAAGCATCATGCTGTGGTGATGTTTTTCAGCAGCCAGGATTGGGAAACTGGTCAGAGTTGAGGGAAAGATGGATGGTGCTAAATACAGGGATATTCTTGAGTAAAACCTGTACCACTCTGTGCGTGATTTGAGGCTAGGACGGAGGTTCACCTTCCAGCAGGACAATGACCCCAAACACTGCTAAAGCAACACTTGAGTGGGTTAAGGGAAAACATGTAAATGTGTTGGAATGGCCTAGTCAAAGCCCAGACCTCAATCCAATAGAAAATCCGTGGTCAGACTTAAAGATTGCTGTTCACAAGCGCAAACCATCCAACTTGTAGGAGCTGGAGCAGTTTTGTAAGGAGGAATGGGCAAAAATACCAGTGGTAGGATGTGGCAAGGTCATAGAGATTTATCCAAAGTGACCTGGAGCTGTGCTTGCCGCAAAAGGTGGCTCTACAAAGTATTGACTTTAGAGTGGTGAATAGTTACGCACATTGACTTTTTCTGTTATTTTGTCCTATTTGTTGTTTGCTTTACAATAAAAAAGAAAAACAGCATCTTCAAAGTTGTGGGCATGTTCTGTGAATTAAATGATGCAAATCCTCAAACAATCCATGTTAATTCCAGGTTGTGAATCAACAAAACACGAAAAATGCCAAGGGGGGTGAATACTTTTGCAAGGCACTGTATTTACAGCACACATAATTCACACTTTTTTGTTTTATGTTCTTTTTAGATTTAACAGCCGGTTCCCATGTGCTTTTGTTGTCTATATTCCGGTCGATATGACATCACCACTTGGGAAGTGATCTTGGGGAGGCTGTCCTACTTTACTAATTAGATAAGTATATTATATACACTATTTTTACGTTAACGGTGTGATGATAGTATTTGTTTCTGTTACTGCTTCTAAAAGATAACATTTAAGGGAAAAAGATTAAAGTTTTCTAAGTTTACATGTTCTGCATTGCTGGTTGGGGAGGTAGCTAATGCTGTCATCAGTATTAAAATTGCAGATGAGGAAATTACTGGGAGTTTTGGTATTCAGAACACATTATCATCTGTATATATTGAAATACTTACTATTCAATGTGTATTTATTTTATGAAACATTTGTATATGACTTAACTGTTTCACAAGCTTGGAGCCTTGATAACTTCCTTATTACACTGCAAATCTCTTACCTGACAAGAACTTATTTGGTGTCCTTATTAATGAAAATAGTAATCAGCAGTTTCCAATACATAGTTTCCCTGTGTAAGGTGGGATAAGAAGTTAATTACCTTCAGAGTAACTGACTAAAGTCCAAAAATATATATTGTATTTATCAATGTCTGAATTTTGCAGTGAATGCTCTGAATTACCCAGAATATGGTCTGGACCTATAGGCGTGCGCACGGGGTGTGCCGGGTGTGCCTGAGCACACCCTAATCCCCGCGGCACGCCTATGCATATTGAGACCGGCAGGGGAGATCTCAGGATCTCCCCTGTCGGCTCATGCAGAGCCGGCGCTATCTGAGCGCCGGCTCTGCTCTCAGCCTCCCTCCCCACTGACCCACATGCAGGGAGGGAGGCAGGAGAGGACCGGCGGAGCTATTGCCGGCAGCTCCGCTGGGCTCCTCTCGCGAGATATGAGCGTTGCCACGGCAATGCTCAAATCTTGCGAGAGTGAACTCTAGCCCCACTCGGGCTAGAGTTCACTCTCCACTGGACCACCAGGGATGGCAGCAGGAACAAGAATCCCCCCTCCCTACATAAGGTAAGAAGGGAGGGGGGATAGCAATTAATGTACCCCCACCTCCACCCACACAAACACACACCCACATACAGCACACACATACAGCACACACAGACATACACAGCACACACACATACAGCACACACACAGCACACACAGACATACACAGCACACACACATACAGCACACACAGACATACAGCACCCACAGACATACACAGCACCCACAGACATACAGCACCCACAAACATACACAGCACCCACAGACATACACAGCACCCACAGACACAGACATACACAGCACCCACAGACATACACAGCACCCACACACATACAGCACCCACACACATACACAGCACCCACACACATACACAGCACCCACACACATACAGCATACAGCACCCACAGACATACACAGCACCCACAGACATACACAGCACCCACACACATACAGCACCCACACACAGCACACCACACATACAGCACCCTCACAAACACACACAGCCCCTCACACACAGCACACACACAGCACCCTCACACACAGCACACAAACAGCACCCTCACACACACACAGCACACTAACAGTACCCTCACAAACACAAACAGGACCCTAACAAACACACACACAGCACACTACCAGTACCCTCACACACAAACAGCACCCTCACACACAGTACATTAACAGCATCCTCACAAGCATGCACACACAAACACCCTCACCCACATAGCACACTACCAGCACCGTCACACACACATCACACTAACAGTACACTCACACTGCACACACAAAAACACAGCAGTGTTTGTATGTGTGTATATATGTGTATGTATATATATATATATATATATATATACATACATACATATGTGTATATATATATGCGGCGTGTGCTTGTGCTTTAGGGTGCACACCCTAATGCAATAGGCTGCGCACGCCTATGTCTGGACCCCTTGCTTCAGAACAGCTGGAATCTGGACCTGTATTATTATAATCTAGGTCCAGGTGCTTCACATCTAGACCCAACTTTTGGTAGCCATATCTACTAAACAGTGAGCAGCCACAAGCTGTAACTAAACACAAGTGACTGGGCAGCCATATCTGTCACTAGAAAGAAGCAAGATTAGACCACCCAGGTGCAGCATATATACAATGAATATGAAAAGATACTTACTTCCTTTCGATTTGGTATAACAAAGGATTCCTCTCAATTCTCAATGTACATGGAAAAATAAGATATACCTAAACACATAAACAGAGAAAGAAAACACTCATAGGAAAGTAACATTAATTAACAATTGGCCCCTTATTTAAATGTTGCACTCAAAAAATTGGAGAGGTATTCAGGCTCATCCATAATCTATGGACTCACACGTGTTCATCTTCGTTCAGATATCCAGTGATGCATGAAAAAAATAAACATAGAACAGCGCTGATATAAATTAAAATCACAGGCTTTAATGAATGCACTTACAGTGTACAAGCAGTTAAAAAGCCCATCAATACAGTTCTGCATTCCCAATCTGTATGATTTTAAGTAGAGGTTCTTCACAGAAGTGGTAGGTGAAAAGATAATATGTATATAAAACAAAAGTTAAAACATAAACTCTACACGTTTCGCCTAATATGTTAGACTTCATCAGGAGTAAAGAATGAGATAATATACAAATAAAGTGCTTGAGTAACTCTGGGGACCATAGCTGTATTTAAAAGTTCCTCCTACGGGTGTCGGAATCCATTCAACCAATCCACTTATATCAATTCACTTGTTTCCAATTGTTCGTTCACTCTCTTCCTTATATGGAGTTCCGGCGGACATCCGTGGAACGCACGTGCGTTTCACCGATCAGGAAGTGTTCTAGCTTCTTGCATGAATGATGTTGATGGCAGTGATATGCAGCTGGAAAGCATATACGTTCCACTTCGTTTTTCCTTCACAGGATTATCTTAATGAGTTCTCATTAATTGTGAAATACCAAATAATAAAACAAAAGTACATAAAAATATATTAGTGGTTCAATATATGCAATATATTCATGCATTTTCCACAGCCAGATATAAAAATGTATACAATCAAATACATATAAAATGTGTGTTATGTTAAAAGTCAAAAACATGCATCATACTACTCGCAGAGTATTCTAGAGAACCAAAGGTAATGGAAAAGAGAAAGTGGGAGAAAAAGAGGAATTTTGGAGACACTAGACTGAAAAATCAATAATAATCAAAAATCATAATAAAAAATCAGTTAAAAAAATCATAATAAAAATATAATTAAAAATATGATAAAAATATATAAAAATATATAATACATAAAACTATATATATTAAATGATTGGAAAATCATGAAAAACAAATTGGATCAAAATCCACATTCAGCCCTAATGGTTGAAGTGTTTTCAGTCTGTGTATCCAGAATCCCTCTCTTTGTCTTAGCTTCATAGTGATGTCACCCCCTCTCACATCTAGAGTAACTTGTTCAATGATAATCCAAGAAAAGTTCTGAATTTTGAACCCTGGACATTTGTTGCAGTGTACAGGAATGGAGTGACTTTGGATTTCCTTTTTGATATTATTCAGATGTTCCAAAAAGCGAGTTTTGGCTTTTCTCCCTGTTCTTCCCACATATTGTGCACCACATCCACACATGAGGAGGTACACCACATGTGTGGATGAATAGGTGACTTCTCCCTGAATTTTAAATTCCTCTCCAGTTGTCGTACTGGAGAATGAATGAGTATGCGATGGCATAAATCTGCAGGCCTTACAATGTCCACAAGTATAAAACCCCTTCCTAGTATTAATTTTCTTGGTGGTATTCCAATTCTGAAATAAACTAGGTGTAAAGTAAGTTGAAAAGTTTCTCCCTTTTCTATAAATGACCTTTCTGATAGTTTACGTCTCAGGTACTCATCGTGTTGGAGGATTGGCCAGTGTCTCTTAAGGATTCGATTAATGGAGAAGGCCTTGGAGTTATACTGTGTATTAAAAGAAAACTCAAATTGGGTGTTGGAGTTAGACCTCAGTTTGGATTTATCAACCAGGAGATCTCCTCAGTTGATACCCCCAGTTTTCTCAACTTCCATTTGTAGATGTTCTCTCTTGTATCCTTTCTCCAAGAATTTATTGGTCAGAATCTCTGCCAGCTCTACATATAATGTCTGAGCAATTCCGTCTGTCTGGTATATTGATGTTTGGGGACCCCTGCAAGCCATCTGGGATGATGTCCACTGCTGGACTCGATGATACTATTCATATCAGTTGGCTTGAAGTATGTTTTAGTTCTAATTCCTGAATCCATAATAAAAATAGTCAAATCTAAAAAATCAATGGAGACAGAACTAAAAACCGGTGTAAACACCAGTGAGAATACATTGCTGTTTAAATATAGAAAAAAGTCTTCTATCAGGAAGTATTACTTTACAGAGAGGGTAGTGGATGCATGGAATAGCCTTCCAGCTGAAGTGGTAGAGGTTAACACAGTAAAGGAGTTTAAGCATGCGTGGGATAGGCATAAGGCTATCCTAACTATAAGATAAGACTATGGACTAATGAAAGTATTTAGAAAATTGGGCAGACTAGATGGGCCGAATGGTTCTTATCTGCCGTCACATTCTATGTTTCTATGTTTCTATGTTAATTGTTCATCAGACCCCTTCCAAATCACAAGGATATCATCGATATACCGACGCCAGAGTTCAGAGTGGGTCCCTCAGTTCCTAGTCACTCCCTATTCAAATAAAAATTTCCTACTGAGCTTCTACCCTAATAGCAGTGAGGATGGCTAACAAATTGCAATAAAATAAATAAACTTACCGTCAGACATTTTCTTTCTTCTTTAATCTATTCATCAGCCCCAAAAAAGGGCACAAAAAATCCATAATATCACGGCGCGACTACTGAAAATAACAAAAAGGGCTTGGGAAAAACAGACAAAAAAATAATCCATGTGAGCACTGTGAAGGCTCTGTGCAGACTGAGGTTTCAAGGATGAAAAAGGATTAATGGCTTTCGCACACTTTTAAATCTCAGTATATTACTTTGATTGGTGAGAATGCTCTGACAACCACTTGTATCTCACTTGTATCAAGACTTGCTGTGGATGATATCAATGGGGATGGAATTACAAACAAGTTTGGGGTATTGACAATGGGATATGTAATAAGAACACCTACCGCCTATGTGTTGGTGGGTACTAGGTCTCCCCTCTGTATTACCACTAGAGCCCCCATCTGCCACTTTTGGTAAGGGTTAGGAGGAATACTAGGTCTCCGCTGTTTAAAAAGTAACCCCATCTGCTAACCACAGGTTGTGTTTTTTTATTGAATTGCCTGCTTGCCAAGGTCCCCCTATTATTTTACAAGCCAACCGTATAGTCCTTAATTACAGTGAGCAGCCCCCACATTGTTCATAATTCCCCCCAATGGGAATATTCTCAGGCAAGACTCGAGAGAAGCAAGACTTGCATTTCAGAGCACTCTTATTAGTTGGCTTACAAACCAACCACTCAAAGCACTCTACTGAGATTTCAAATTGTGCTAAAGCCAATATGAAGCCTTCTCCCTCCTATGAAATTCAGTCTGCTCAGAGCAATGCACAGATGGATTATTTTTTGTACGCGCTCTTGTTTTTATTTTTTTACATTGTTTTTCTTGCGTTTCTGTCCTTTTTTTTTATTTTTCAAACAAACATTCTACGCGATGCATTCTGGCCCTTTTTTTTTTAAAGTTTTTTAATCAGTGCTTAGTGAAACTTTCAAATCATATACAGTACTTTGTACCGGCTTCAGATGCCAAAAGCACAGATTTTAAACCGGACCCCAAACACATCTGGCCTATGGGTGCAGTCAGGTTGGCCAAATTCTGGATGGAATTAGCTTTAGCAAATATGAGAATTGTCATTCTGGACTGAATTCTGTAATTTTCACTGGATTTTGTCAGAATGGGAATGTTTAGTGAATTACCCTCATAGTGTAATGGAATGGGTTGGAGGAGTATATGTATATATATATATATATATATATATATATATATATATGTAAAAGGTAGAAATCCCCAATGTTTTGCAGCATTGTTAGACAAAAACACCTGGTCAGTTCCAAGAATATGCTACTGGCAATTTTAAAATGACACCAATTGCTACAGATAAATTCAGTCAAAAATCATATCATCGGGATTTTAACCTTTCTAAAACTTTATTTTATCCTTTCTGGCCTTCTGCAGCCATGTTACAGCAATGAGAACAAAACTCTTTCACAACGTTGTACATTACAAGTCTAAAAAAATAAAAACAACATTCCACCAACATTTACATTTATAGGTTATACAGATATACATAGTTGTATTCGATTACATACATGCGCACATTAACTTTTATTGCGTAGTTACTTTTTTCTATCTATCCCAACAGGGTAATTTCCTTTAAAAAAAAAAAGGCTTTCCTTGTCTTTGTTGTAAATGCTATGTATCCCTTAACATATATTAAACAATACTAAGTGATGTGTAGTCTCTAAAAGCTACAAGGTCCAGTTACTCAAGGTACATGGAGCCAGATCTGCTTTATGCTACTTAAATATTCTACATAAGTAATTATCACTAATATCCTGATACCACTTCAATTAACATATACCTGTATTTTATTTCATTATAGAAAGTACTGCCATTCCACAGATTCTTCAAATGACTCAGCTTTCTTAAAGTAAAATCCTGTAACCAGCATATCTTAATGAACTCCGTGCCTTTATTATATCTTCCATCAATACATTATTGCATAGCTGTCAGTGGACTTGAATCCTCATTTACTTATTGGGATCAATACATGTAGAGTCCTGATACAGCTTAAGGGTGTTGCCTATGCTTTATCCCTAGCTGATTGTGTTTTGTCAATTAAAATAAATGTATTTCATCAATGGGGTTAGAAACCACGATGCAAATAGCATTACTTGTAGGCGTACTACAAGACATCTGTCATCGAAAATTTGAATTTAAAAGATCCTTATTTGAATGTGTTTGGCCCAACAAGCATGATACAGTCACTGGGACCATAACACCATTCTACATTAACCTATAAATGACTGCAGATATGTATTCCTTTTTTTTTTCTTTACCTGTTAATTATGTCAATTTACTATTTAGTTGATGATTTTACAGAATTAAGTTTACATTTTATATATTTTGCCTATTTTTTAAGAGTGTAGCACTTGATATGAATGTTTTTTTATTATATATTTTTTGCCACATCTTCCTGAACAATAAAATATGCTTAAACAGTCTCCCCACACCCCCCAAACTCTACCCTACAATGGAAGGGGTTATTCAGTCACATTTTCTGCATGATAAAAAATAAAATTGGAAAATAAAGTAGAAAGTGTTTTTTTTTGTTGTTTTTTTTTTTACGTTTCTAATCACCTACTACATATAAGTCCATATTTACTGCTATCAGAAGATAACTAGATATTTCTTCTTAAAATTGATCTTTATGCCAAGATAGGATATAGATTTATTAGCCCAGTTAAATCTAAAAGGGAAGCCTTCTGTAGATGAGAAAGATTATTATGAATTACTTGAGTCTTATGAATGTTAATTTTATAATTATAAATATAACTAAATTCCTCTATACAACCCATCACATCTGAATTAGAAACCTCTGAATTGAAGATTTTAGTAATGAAGGAAGGCTAGAAACGTGGCCCGGCTACTTTATGTATACTAAAAGTAACATTTAAATGCCTTAAAAGGGTATTTCAGAGGAGATATGATAACATTATACAAATATGTACAAGAGCAGAACAAAGAGCTCTTTGGTGACCTGTTCATTAACAGGAAATGTTTTACAGTACAGGAAAACTTTATTTTACAGTAAGAATTAAAGATATTTAGAATGTGTTGCCTTGTGAGGCTGCTTTATCAAATACAACATTTGTCTTTAAAATGGGTCTAGATTTTTCTTCTTGAAAATAAGGATACGCAGGGCTATAATAGTTAATATGCATGGCGTTAGAAGCTTGTTTATCTAATTAGAATTCTGGAAGGAGTTTTCCTTTATTTGTTGTTTTATTTTGGGTCAGCAGTAGATGTTCATCTTTTTGCAATCTATATTACTAGGTTATGATCTTGGATGAGGTATGGCCACCCAACAGTTTTCACAGGATGAGAGGATTTATGCTTTAAGCGGGTATTGTTAGAGGAAAAAGTCCATCCAGAAAAACAAAGATAGTATGTATTAATAGCACTTGATCAAATTCCCAGACAGTGTTTAGTACATATATATATAAAAATGAAAATCCAGGATGCACTCACAGGTTTTTTAGTGGAATGATCTGATTTACTGAATAAAGATTACATACAGCAAAGAATCAACGTTTCGACTCTGCCGGATTTTTTTCAAGATCACTGAATGTAAGAAAACCGTGCATTTATATACCAAATACAAAATAAAGCTTATCAATCAATGTAGTGACGTCCCGCTGACCGTTAACACCCGGAAGTGCAATGAAGCCGCCTGTGACGTCAAGACGGAATTAAGCGGAATTAAGAGTGGTTACCAGGGTTACCAGATAACAAACATGCATGCTAATGTGAAATCTGTAGGGAGAATAAACAGTGCTAGTGAAAAGAAATTAAAATCAATACAAGGAGAAATCATATAATAAATGATCTAATATGATATCGGCATATAGTAAATAATCTTGTATAAGATAAAATGCCCATATGAAGGAGAGGGATGAAAAGTGGATGTAAAGGTGTAAGAAGTGTGAGGCGAAAACAGTGCAAACTAAGTAAAAATAAGTGTTAAAACTGTGTGAATAAATAGTGATTCCCAACTTACTCCCCATAGGGTCAATAGATATATAGATAGTATAATTATCAATATACAAAATAATTATTAATAAGAATGCAGGAGTCTTCAATATATTAACTAGCAGAATTGTATATTAAACGGCATACACTGCGGTTAAGTGTGGTAAAGATTCTAGTGAATGAAAAGGATGCTCTAAACTAAATAAGCTATATATATAGCATGATTATTTAAGCTGGTAAATGCTTCTATAAAGCGCTAAAAATAAGTCACAAAAACATAGAATAAATAACACTTTCATTCAGGTCTCTGGGGGCAACTGTGTCCAAATGATGGATCCAATATGCCTCCCTTTGTTGAAGGATTTTTGATCTGTTACCACCTCGGGGTAAGGGAGGGACATGATCAATGGCAATAAAACAAAGTGTAGGTAAATGATGTTGGGTTGCTAAAAAATGTTTACCAACTGTTTTTTCTGTATATTGGTCACAAAACGCTGTCATAATGCCAGATCTATGGCCCCTGATCTTTTCTCTTAAAGTGAGGTCCGTCTTCCCAATATATGCTAAGCCACATGGGCATTTGATCATCTAAATGACGTGGTCTGTGGTACACGTAATGTAATGTTTAATTAGAATCAGTTGGCCACTATGAGGATGAGTGAAGGTTGGGCCAGTGAGCATATGGCTGCAGATCCAGTACATTTGAAACTTCCTTTCTTCTTGATATATGGTATTTTAACAATGAATGGGATCACTGCGGACTAATAGATCTCGTAAGTTTCTATTTCTTTTATAACTTATGATTGGATACTTTTGAAAAATAGGAGGGAGATTTGTGTCGGATTGCAGTATGCCCCAATGTTTGTGTATAGAGTACTTAATTTGCAACGTTCCAGTATGAAAGGTTAATGGTAAAAATAGTTTTCTGTCTTGAAGTTCAGTTAGTGCTTTCGGAGTCTGGTTTGATACACATTCCTTTGCTTTCTGTTCCGCAGTAGATAATATTTGGGGTTGATAACCCCATCTCAAAAATCTTTCCCACGTCTGCTGAAGTTGCATATGTCTTTGTCCCATTTCACTATTATATCTTAGTACCCATATAAACTGAGAGATAGGTAGTGAGTCCTTAAAATGTTGCGGGTGAAAACTTGAGGCTGATAAAAGTGTATTTCTATCCTTTTCTTTACGATGTAATGTATAACCCATTCCATCTGTAGTTTTGTATAGTGACATCCAAAAATTGGATTATGTTTTGATCATAGGTAAGGGTTAGTTTCACAGATAGTTGTAATACATTGATTTGTTTAACCATTTCACATAGTTCCTCAGTTGTACTCCATATAAGAAGAATATCATCCACAAAACATCCAAAAAAGTATTTGAGTATCTTAGTATTGTACATGGAAAGACTATATTTGTGTTCAAACCAAGACGTGAAGATATTTGCATATGAGGGGGCCATGGCCGCCCCCATCGCTGTTCCAGACACTTGCAAGTAGAAGGTATATTCAAATTTGAAGTAGTTGCAGGATTATGCAGGATTATGTGACGGATAAGAGTTCAAGTAGAAATTCAACAGGTGGACCTGTAGATGTGTTGGACTGAGAATTTCTCTAACTGCTTGTATTCCTTGAATTTGTTGTATTACAGTATACAGGTTTTGTACGTCCAGGGTTACGAGAATATAATCCATCCCATTTTCCCAGTTTATTTCATTGATTTGATGCAATAGATCTTGTGTGTCTTCCAGACACGTTGGGAGTTCTTTTACATACCCTTGAATATGGCAATCCACAAATTTAGCGAGAGGTTCCATAAGACACAATCGGTCTGCCCAGGGGATTTTCCATAGATTTGTGTATTTTAAGCAGGGTGTGTATGACTGGGTCTATTGGATGGGTCACATTTAGATATTTTGATGTTTTTAAATGCAAATAAGCTGCCTGTACTCCAAGTTCTATGAGATTACCAATCTTTTTCTGGAATTTTTGGATAGGATCAAATGTGAGTTTTTGATACGTATTAACATAATTTAATGGTCTCATAAGTTCTTGTCTGTATTTTTTATATGATTGTGTAACGATTGCTCCTCTTTTATCCGCTGGACAGATCACTATAGTAGAATCTTGTTTTAAGTTTTCTAAGGCTGTTTTTTTTTATTGGTTAGGTTGTATCTATGTTTTGGAGGGAATTTGGATATTCTAGTCACGTCTTTATGGATCATATGCTTTATGTTGACAGATTTTGTTAGTTTTTTTTTTTTTAAAACACCTAATCTAGGCAAAAATAATGTGGGTTTAGTTACATTATATGATATTATATGATCATACATTGCATAAGCCTGCCACAATGTCAATGTACCCCAGGCTTTTAGAGTAGGACCTGGGGTACATTGACGTCGTGGCAGGCTTATGCAATGTATGATCATATAATGTAATTAAACCCCCACTATTTTTGCCTAGATTAGGTGTTTAAAAAAAAAAAAAACTAATAAAATCTGTCAACATTGAAGTTGCTGTTTAGTGGATAGGTGAGTGGGCTGGATCTTATGTATTGTATACATTGGCCCAAAGCAGCACCCCATTTATGCATGTTCAGGTGAGTGCAGCCCCCTGGTTTCATATATATATATATATTCATATATATATATCACTCAAACAAATGTATTACACCTTAAACCATGTAAAGGTGCAATACATTAATGTGTTTGAGTGTTTCATAACACCTTGCAAAGAAAGCAACCAGTACATGATGACTAGGTGCTTAATTTAAATGACCCATTGACAACTTTTACAAGTTTTACGTATGGATTAACACAACTAAACAACAAGTTAAAAAGTTAATGTTTTTTGGTTGTATTATCTCCTTCAACATTTCTATACATTAACCTGCATTTAAAGTAATATTAGAGATTAGTTGTTGTTACCATCACATTAAAGTAACACTATAGTGTCAGGAACACAAACACAAACATATATTACTGACACTATAGTGCTGGTGTGGCTTTTTAAATGACCTGCCCATTCGGGCTGAAAAGGTGATTTCACTCATCTTGTCTCCCACACCACATCAGTTTTGCCGCAACTGGCCTGCCTGGCTCCGCCTCTATGGCTGAGATCATCATTTTTTATCTTAGCCAATCCATTGCTTTCCCAAGCATTTGAAGGCTATTGAAATACAGTTTAAAACACTGTGTGGCGCCTATCATCCTCTTCTCACAGGGAAGCATTGAATGAATCCTCCCCAAACCCTCCCATTCTAACCCAGCCCACATTTTCTGTAGTAGTTCAATCAGTCTTTCCAATGCACCTCAATGAGTAGTCTTTGCAAGGCAAGTGCTCTAGCTAATTATATTACATGACAGAAGGCTTCATATTTTACTTATCAAAAAAAGAGAACAGGTGGAAGCAAAATACTAAATCAAGAGTATCTAGGACAGACACTAAGGGGTAACCCTTGAAGAAAATTGTAAATTGAAAAACAGAAAAAATGTGATCTGTCCTAATAGTACCACTGAGATAGACAAAAAAATTGAAATATAACATTTAATGAGTTTAATTAAAATTAGAGTAACTGAAAGGCACGGGAAATAATGGGGGAAAAGATTATCACCTAAAAGTCTAGAAAAAGTGATATATGTCCCTGTAGTAATAGCATATGGATTAGCAAAAGCGAATGTACTAAAGTGTACAGATAAAACAATATTAGCATTGGTAGGTAGATTGCGGAATGTGCATAAGGTACCTTGAGAGAAGAAAAACAAGATAAGGTGGAGCGATCTAAGGCATACGTTAGCGATAAGTAATCCCTATATCTGTGCCTACAGGGGCACTTAAATGTCTACTACAAATATACTTGATAGTGAAACCATCCAGTACTAATTCGTTATAAGTAAGACCCTAAATCTGTGCCTTCGAGGGCACCTAATAAGCTAAACGATGAAACCTTCTAGCTGCTATTTATACAGAAGGTAAAGTTAATACACCCTTTCCCTGCTGTCCACTATCCTTAAAGTACCGAGATAGGATGAATACGAATATCAGATAATATCAATTTGGAGCAGCAATATCTGTCAGCAGGGTAAGAGTTTGACACTGAGCCCCAACATGCGTTTTGCCGGTAAATGGCTCTTTAAGGGGGAACCCACGTCCCTAGCTTTTGAGTTTAAATGATGCGCCCTTTGGTCTGATTGGTCTATCGGAAAACTGATGACGTCATGTAAAAGCGTTCATTACGAGAACGGAGATAGTGATATGCATTTCATTCGTGATCTAATCATGGAAGAAATATTGATTGCAATAGTATATGGACCAAAATCAATCTGTTTTAAAATTATTACAGTGTTGTGTCCAATATGTCTAATAGGTTTAGCTGTCCCAGTGACCAATGAGGTCTAAGTTTAGAAGATGTATGCTATGTGAACCATTAGAGAAAAAATTACTTTGCTAGTAGGAATATATTATGAGTTTAAGTGATTTAGGTGTAAGTATTAAATTACTCTATACCTGGGGCACATATTACAATATTATAGTAAGATTGTAATGTAAATTACTAAAAATAATAATAAAAAGATTTATTATATTTTAATCTCAATGTTTGTTGCAGATTAACATTCTAATTAAAGACATAATTCAATATTTGAAATCTATGGATAATTATAATAGACATAATTGCAGAATTAAAAGGAAACTATAGTGTAAAAATGGCCACATATTTGGCCGCATATTTTAATGCATCATACAGATACTGTGTTAAAAATGCAATTATATACAAGTTAAAAAAGATGCATATCTTTAAAGTATCTTTCAGGTACTACAAGCAGACACCTCCCTAACTCTGCCAGACATACTGTATATAAGATAAGTAATTTGCCCCCAGGTGTGGCTACCCTTATCACATAAGATGAGTGGAAGAGCTCTGTAAACGTATATCAGCCAGGCTCCAGCTGCAACCAAATTAAAGCATCTTCAAATGGAAATCTTGAATATCCAGACACTAAGCACCATGACCACTTCAAATCACGTGGTCTTGATGTTAGGAGTACCCCAATAAAGTTCTAGTATTGAAGCCAACATTAGAGCATTTCATTGGTTTCCATGGTGATTGCTCCACTTTTAAACCTTTGTCCCATAGATACTTTTTGCACAGGACCCACACAAACTTTACATAAGGAATGATTTGCTATTATAGTATCTGTTCAGCTCCTTCTTGATCTCCATGTAATCCTTTAAATTGTAAATTTCTATAAAAATAACACAGTAAAAGAATGGGGGAGAGGGGGTTTATTAAAGTATCACTGACACTTTTTGTTAATTGTTCCATTTTTGGCATCCTAACTAATAATTAATTTTGCTATACCTTTTTCAGTAGAGCAGTAGGTTTATCAATCTTTAAGTATGTTTTCTCATAAAAGTTGCCTGTTTTAGCTTTTTATATGTTACATTACTTTTGTTGCATACTTTATAAACCATTGTATTTACATTTAGGGCTGAGTAACCATGGAAAAATAAATGGAATAGATCTGTGCATGTTAACATCTGATCTATTTCTTAAAGAAACACCCCAAGTACCATAGCCAATACAGCTTGCTGTACAAGTGTCCTGGGACCCGCTGAGTGCCCAGCACATCCTCACATGGAGCCAGCAGCTCGTGCAAGGATCTTCTGTTAGCTCCACTGAGCTTGTTTATTAGCCCAGAGTGTCTGCTGAGTGCTTTCACCCAATAAACACCTCTCAACACCACTAGACTAAGCTCAGTGCACAAGCTTTCTAGCTGCAGAGGTAGCGGCAATGGCCACTTGGCTGACCTCTGGTAAATTGTCAAACTATTCTCACTACTTACTTTGGAAGGGCGCCAGGGCTCTCCTAGCACCATAACCACTATTGCTGGCTGTCGTAGTTATAGTGCGTGGTATGTTCCTTTATTTTCTGACTAACTTTGTATAATATCATGTGAAAGTTTCACACAGAACAGAACTCACAGATTACTTGCTCCAAACAAAAATTGTTAATTAGAAAATGAGTGTCAGGTTCCTATCCTGACAACCAAAGTTATGTTTCATGTATAGGTTTTCTTAATACCTAATAACCTGTCTGGGGCTTATTGCCTAAACTGTCTATTTTATTATTGCTCTAAATACCTATAATCTCGCTTATAGGTTCTGCATTAACCCTTTGTACTATATTTTCCATTATAGGCGTTATTTCCTAAGTTACCTGTTTTAAGCATATTCCCTAAACCTCTATTTAACCACTTAAGGACTGAGCCAATTGTACAAGTTGTGACAAATCAAAACGTAAACAAAACCTTGAATTTGCGCTATATGTCTGTTCAGGCGTAATTCACCCCTTTCATATTATGTGTACCCACACATATATCATTTTATTCAGGAGAAACAGCCCTTTCATGTCACATTAAATATTTGTATATTAAGCATAATTTAATATGAATAAAAATGTGAGAAAATAAGAAATTGTTATTTTTTTAATTCTTCATGGCATTTTAACTGTAAATGTCACAATACTGTTAGCTGTTACTGCAATAAAGTACACATATTTGTATTCAGCGATTTCTCACGGGTAAAACAGTATACCCCTATGTACAGGTTTTATGGTGTTTTGGAAACAGTTCTGGGAGTCAACTGCCGATTTTATTCATAAGCTCCAGTATTTAAGGGGTTTCCTTAATTATTTTACAGGGTGAAATATAGCACATTACATCTTTCAGTTTATACACATTGAAATTTGCCAGACAGGTTATGTTGCCTTTGAGACCAAATGGTAGTCCAGAAATGAAAATTAGTAAGCATTCATATTTGTTTGTGTGTGAAAAATGCAAAAAAATAAATTGAATGCTTATTTTTACCACTGTTTGTGACTAAGTGGCTACTACAATAGACTGAACATACCCCATTTGCAATACCTTGGGTTGTCTACTATTGCAAATGGTATGCCATCATGGCGGTGAGTCTCATTCCTGGGCTACCATACGGTCTCAAAGGCAACGTAACCAATCTGGCAAATTTCAATGTGAAATAAAAGAAAAACGCAAGCCTTATATTTGACCCTGTAACTTTTGAAAACACCATAAAATCTGTACATGGGGGGTTACTGTTATACTCGGGAGACTTCGTTGAACTCAAATATTAGTGTTTCAAAATAGAAAAACGTATGACAACAATTATATCATCGGTGGAAGTACCGTTTGTGTGAAAAGTGCAAAAAAATTTTTTTTACTGACAATATCATTGTTGTGATATGTTTTACTGATTTTAAACGCTAATATTTGTGTTCAGCGAAGTCTCCCGAGTCCTAGTAAAACCGTGCCCCATTCCCCCCCCCCCCCAATGTACAGGTTTTATGATGTCCTAGAAAGTTACAGGGTTAAATATAGGGCTTTTTTTTAATTTTGAATTTATTTATTGATTCATTTTCCATATATATATATATATATATATATATATAATGTCATTCAAGTGTTTTTTAATATTAATATATATATATATATATATATATATATATATTAATATACACCTTTATTAATGGTTTATGTATGCGTTTGTGCATACAAAAGTAATTGGATCATATATATATATATATATATATATATATATATCTTTATAAACTTTTTTTCAGGCATTAGCGGGACTGCCTGAGAGATCCTGCAGGCACTGCATAAGCCGGCTATTCCGGCAATGTGATCGCAAGGACCCCTGCGATCACATGGCCGGGGGGCCAGGATCGGGCAGAGGGGGTCTGCCTGAGCTCCCAGGCAGACTCCAGGATCGTGACCGCCGTCGGGGGAACGGTGGGGACCCGGTAAGTACAAAGGACGGTGGGGATGTTCTATGCTGCCCGCCTGCGTTTAGGACTGCCCCAAAAAGTACGGCATAGAATGCCCATTAACCCCTTAAACTGTTAAGGGGTTAATATTCTCCTTTCTACTCTTATTCCTCTATGTTATTTCCACTTCCCTTTAAGTCCTGTTGTACTTATTGTTCCTAGAAAAACCATGTCAAAGATTACCAATAAAGAACCTAAAGTTAACCGCGGTGCACTTCAGAAGGCTCTGTTCATATGATTTATGTACTTTTTTACTCCAGAAAGAGAGACCGAACGTTAGCCCTGATTCCCTGGAACTGTTTCGGCATAGGACCATGTGCACGGTTCGTAAAAATTAGAACTTCCATGGAAGTCCCGAACCCCTGAACCAATCTGGGTGGTCTTTTGAGGGGTTTCCATGTGTTTAGGGGTTATTTCGGGTTTATTGTAAATATGTTTTCTGTGCCTGGAGATAATTGAGTTTAGTACAGTTCCCAACTCAATTATCTCTCAGGCACAGGGGAGGGATTATCTTGATTTGTGTGGGAGTGTCCTGGACATGAGAACCAATGTAATTACAGTGTGTACTTTGTCACAGTCCCCTCTCAGATCCAGTTGGGAATGTCCCTGGACTATGTTATGGAAAACCCCTTGCAGGGGGACTTGCATATAAGGCAAGTTGTGGCTGCCATTAAAAAGTGCCTCTTCATTCTCAACATAGAGTCTCGTCTCATGTGTGGAGGGAACAGCTATAATCACTCTGGGGATTGCTATAATCCCTATACTCCCTTGGATTACAACATTTGCTCTTGTAAGAGCAGCCTGCTTTGCTCTCGGTACTTGGAGAGGTCTACCCACTGGAAGCTGGATCCTGGCCTTGGGTCGAGACTGGGTGGGGGACAGCGAGACCCAACCAAGCTGTAACGCTGGCTGTGGGGTTTATGGTGGTTATGGTGTTCCAGTGCAGTGCTTATGGTGCTCACAATTACCAGGAAGCAGCGATTGGCGGAGGCACCCAGTTGGGGTGCCAGGCGGTCTGTCACAGCAAGTATGAGAAGACACCCTCACAGTGACAAGTTTCTTGAAAAAATACCTGGCAAAACTACTTCACAGTAACAGGTTTCCTGGACACAGGAATCCCAGCAAGCAAATAAAAACTCAACCTTGAAATAATTTGCAAGAACACCGCAAACGGCAGAAAAATTATGCAAAACAAGGGCAGAATTTAAGAATACAAAAATACATCAAACGTTCAGACCATTTTTAGAACCCTTTAATATACACAATCTGATTACAGACCGAAAATTAAAGACATTTTTTACATCACTTTGATAAACCTCCTCCTCCAATATTCTAAAATTTGAGCAGTCACCATGGTAACAAATGGAAGGTTCCAGCTGAATGCTCCTCTTCTGGAACATTAAGTATGAATTGCTCTTTATTCCTAACCCCCAGTGTCCACTTCTCTCACACATCGATTGCCACCAAAAACAGGACTGCTCTTCCCACTTTCCTAGACACACACTCACACTCTCTCCCTCCCCTCTTTACCCATATGCCGGGTCCTGATTGGGCAGACACTGCAGCCTGAAACATAAACAAACATAAGACAGGCGGCTCCAGACAGACAGCCTGCCCGAACAAACAGAACTGGACCAGTACCTAAACCCTGGCCCTGCCCAGCTCCAGGCTCCATATAGTGAGAACTCAGCCTTCAGCACCAGGAGCGGACAGCTCCAGGCGGAGAGGGGGAGGGGGGCACACTGTGTATTTGGGGATTGGATGCCCAGTCCATTGCTGAGTGGTACACTCTCTGAGCTCTGATGCTATAGACGTGCCAGCCAGGAGCAGGGCATATAACAGGCTAGGATGGGCGGCAAGCTCAGCAGGCAGAGCAGCCTGGAGGATGAGCCCGAGGACGGGCTGGAGGTAGCCGGGTCACGGGGGGACTTTGCCTTCCCATCGCTGATGCTGAACTCTGAGCGTATCCACGGGGTGCTCCGTAGGAACAAGCCGGCTCCCTACGTTCGACGGTCAGACTGGATCAGGGACATCCAGGCTCTGCTCCGGGACCACAAGCAGGAGCGGGCCATGCAGGTGTTAAGAATGCTCCGCAAGGTGAGGGAGCCTATAGGATCACATAGCCCTGATACAGTAACCATCACCCCTTCCTATACATCACTCTCCACCATAACCACATCGAACGGGGCATCCCCTAATACTGACACACTGGGTGCCATCAGGGTGCCAAGATCTCTTCATCATACATGTAGCTATAAGTCAATATTATCAATTAATACATGTACAGCGCAGTGACCAGGGGTGGCATTGCTAGCGCTAGTGTGCTCTGTGCTGTACAGTACTTGGTGTGCTGCTGGGTGTGGTGACCTCCCCTTTGCTGTATCTACAGGACCTGGGCCTGGAGGGGACATTCCTCAATGACATCCTGTACAGACATGTCACCTTCCTGAACCTTGTGGACCCCATCTCCCACGAATTGCTCCTGAGCCTGTCCAGGGAGCTCCAATGCCCCCGCAAGGTGAGTGTGCTAATGAAGTATATTATAGTATACACACAGTCCTCCCCCTTACTATACTGTAACCACAGATACTCTTACTCTTGGTGCTTTGTCTGCAAGCCATAATAAAAAAAACCATGCACATATGCCAGATACATACACACATATTTACATGTATACTGAGGAGTGTGTGTGTGAAAGGCATTTCTGCCATAGCCAGGATGGGCTCATTTCTCCCCCACCTCTCCATACAGGAGAAAATGTTCCAGAAAGTCTGAGACTGGCCATGAATGCCAATATTCAGGACATTACTCAGTCAGTGAGGGAGGAGACTGAAAGAGATAGACAGACAGACAGACAAAGAGGAGGAGAGCAAATCATGAGGAAGGGATGCAGACAACAATACAGAATGACAAGGGGGAGAGAGCAGCCAGGAGGGGCTGAGCAGCATGGAGAGATATCTACATAGAAATTAGGGGAGGGGGGGGGAGGGGGGGGGACGGGGGACAGAGCTACTGGCAACAAGCAGGCTATCTAGTTAATTATTTAATTCTCTATGAAGAGCTAACATATTCCACAGCATTGTACAATGAGCATAGTCATTCTACAAACAAGGGGTGAGCAAGCCCCTTTATTTTTAAATAAAAAGACATAGAGGTTGATACATACACGTTGATTACGCTGCAGAAGGGACTATTTACACATACATTTGTACAGTTGAATTGCTTTTGAAGTCACGCACCAGCATGCAGGGATTTTGGGATTTAATCACTATAATAGTGAATTGTGAAATGAATTAAAATCTAAATACCAAAATATAGGCAAACAAATCTAAGATAAATACATTTCCCAACTCAACACCTCAATTTTGCCATTCTAATTTTAATTATTAAATTTAGAATTTAGTTTAAAAAAAAAAAAAAGAAATCTCTATCAACTAAAATGTAAATTGTTATAAAATTCTATATTTTAGAGTAAAATAGCCAAACAGAAAACACAACTGACTTGGAAATGTATTTATTTTTATTTCCTCTGCTTTGGCCTGTAATGTGAAATTCACTTTGAATGCCCAATAATTCATAGTTTTGTAAATATCCCTGTCAGTGAATTTAAAAAATATCAGGCATTTAAGAATAAGGAATTAAAAAAGAGAGAAATGGAGAACTAAATAAGCAAAATGGATGAAGGCATTGCAGTAAGACCTCTAGTTCAAGTTGCTCTTTTTTGTGAATACTTCATGTTCCTAATCTGTTGGAATGAGTGGAATGGGCCAAAACTAAAAGAATTTAACAAAAAATAAAATGTGATACATGGTATCCACAAATATGAATACCAGAATAGGGTTAGGAGTAGGACATGGGTTGGTAATGAATTTAACTAGAGACAACAGCATAATTTTTTTAAATTAAAGTTTTACTTGCCTTTTTCCAGCACTGAGGCTCTCTCATTGCTGCATATCTCTTCACCTCCTGTGGTGTCATGGACGAGGCATTGCCACCTCCGCGGTGCATGGTTCAATCCAAAGCTCCTCATAGAGAAGCACGAAGTACCTGATGCGCATGCACAGTGAGTGATGTGTGCACAACCAGGTTTCCCTATAGGACCACTGAGTCATTGCTTTACTACGGAGGCTTCCTCGTCATGTGCCCGAATTTTACTCAGTCAGTACGGCGGAAGCACCTCTAGTGACACTGTAAACATTGCAGGTTCTTTTTTTTCTTTTTTTTATGTTAAAAGGACAGGACCACTATACCAAAGTCACTTCATGGAGTGGCCCGGGTGACTTTAGTTGTTCTTTAAAGGGTTACTCCAGGTACCATGAATACTAAAGTGATTTGAAGTGATCATGGTGCCTGGAGTCTGTACAGGTAGTGTTACACTAGGAAACTTAGTACATTTGGAGTTTAACCCTTTTGCTGCCAGAACCAGGGCCGGATTAAGAGCACACAGGGCCTGGTGCTGACAAATATGATGGGCCTAATTACGGAATCTTATCAACCAAAAACACTAAACCAGTCATACCTCCCAAGCGTCATGTATCTGATGGAGATGGTGCTGGAGGGAAACTCAAAGGATGCAGCTATAAGAAAACACATACTCTATGCTAATCTCTCTCTAATTTATGCTTTCATCTTTCAAGTAAATCCATAACCCTAACAGCAGTGTCCAGCGAGGCAGGAAGTCAATGGGCGGGGTAAAAGAGTGTGCCACTGACGCGAATCACGTGACCAGACTTGCCAAAAGGGGAGAACATGCCAAAAAAGGGGGAATGTCTGTCCAAAGAATTTGAAGGACAACCTGGCATGAATGCATGTCAGGCTGCCCGCCAATCCTGCAGGCTGTCCAACTAAGGGCATACTATGCAGGCAGCACCATGAGCTTGACATAAATGCATCTAATGATGCACTCACTCCGTGCTTTCTAAGGACTGTCCCCTATCACTCGCTGGTCCACTTGTCACCTTGCCTTCTTACTAGCAGACAGAAGCTCCTGGTATATAGTCTGAGACAGAGAAAAGGTGTATGTAGTGAGTGTAGAAGAAAGGGGACATGCCACAGTTTTAGAGAGATCAGCGTCTGCATTACCTAAACTAATTTTATTGTCAGCTAGTCCATACAAGTTTTGTTCCCATACATCCCTCTTAAGATTCCAAACTTAAAGGGACACTATAGTCACCAGAACAGCTACAGCTTATTGTATTTGTTCTGATAAGTAGAATCATTCCATTTAGGCCTTTTGCAGTAAACACTGTCTTTTCAGAGAAAATAACTCCACTGGCCACTCCTTAGATGGCTGCTAGAGGTGCTTCCTGGGGCAGTACTGCCTAGTGTGCAGCACTGCCATTCAGTGTCTCCACCCTCTGCATGCAGACACTGAACTTTCCTCATAGAGATGCATTGATTCAATTTATCTTTATGAGGAGATGCTGATTGGCCAGGGCTATGTTGGACTTGTGGTGGCTCTGCCCCTGATCTTCCTGAAAAAGCCAATCCTACGGGGAAGTTTTGTAATTTGCTCAGACCACCACTTCTGATGATGTCAGCAGACAGTCAATTCCGAGGCAGAGCCAGCAGCTGCAGACTTGAATACAAGTTATATTTTACTATACTTAGGGAGGCAAGAAGGGGCCAGGGTGGTGGTTTTAGCATAATAGGGTCAGAAATACATGATTGTGTTCCTGACCCTATAGTGCTCCTTTAAGCAAGAGTATGTGAAGAGTAGTTAGGGTTGCCACCTTTCTTGGAAAAAATACCAGCCTTAATCATTTGTATAATCACAAAGAGTGACATCAGAGAAAATTCTGTAAAATCACCAACAAACTTTTGATTCTACTGTATAGATTCTGCTGTATAGATGGATTGCTCCCAGTGTCTCAGTCTCGCAAGTCACCCAGTGTCTCAGTGTCCCTATGTATCACAGTGTCAGTGTCCCCATGTCGCCCAGTCCCCTAGTCTCCCAGTGTCTCAGTGTCCTCATTTCTCCCAGTGTCCCAATGTCTCAGTGTGTCCCCATGTCACTAGGATACTGGGGACACAGTGAGACATGGGGACACAGTGAGACATGGGGACACTGAGAGGGGATATGGGGACACAGAGACATGGGGACACTGGGAGACATGGGGACACTGATACATTTAGGGAAACTGGGAGAAATGGGGACACTGAGACACTAGGAGACATGGGGACACTGAAACATTTGGGGACACTAAGACACTAGGGACACAAAGACATGGGAACACAGACACTGGAGACTAGGGGACAGGGGGATACTGGCTGGGAGACAGACACTTGGGAACACTGGGAGACATGGGGACAGTTGTGGACATAGACATGGGGACACTGGGACATATAGGGACACTGGGAGACCTGGGGACACTAGGCACACTGAGACACTAGGAACACAGACACTGGGATACATGGGGACACTGAAACACTAGGGACACAGAGACATGGGGACACTGGGAGACTATGGGACACAGACACTGGGAGACTTGGGGACAGTTGTGGACATAGACATGGGGACACTGGGACATATAGGGACTTTAGGCCCACTGAGAAACATGGGACACAGACACTGGGAGACTTAGGGACACTGAGACACTATCGACACTGGATGGGGGACATGGGGAAACTGGGAGAAATGGGGACATATTGTCTCCGTGTCCCAATGTCTCAGTGTCTCCCAATGTCACTATGTCTCACAGCATCCCCATGTGTCTCAGCATCCCCATGTGTCTCAGCGTCCCCATGTGTCCCAGTGTCCCCTAGTGTCTCAGTGTCCCCATGTTTTCCAGTGTCCCCAAGTGTCTCAGTGTTTCCAGGTCTCCCAGTCTCTGTGTCCCCATGTGTCCTAGTGTCTCAGTGTCCCCTAGTGTCTGTGTCCCCATGTGTCCCCTAGTGTCTCAGTGTCCCCATATGTCCCCTAGTGTCTCAGTGTCCCCTAGTGTCTCAGTGTCCACATGTGTCCCCTAGTGTCTCAGTGTCCCCATGTCTCCCTGCTGCCTTTCCCCCCATCCCGCCTTTCCCCCCATCCCTCACCTAAGCTGTAGAGTTGCTGTATGGACTCTGTGCTGTGTTGCTGCTCCCCCACGGATCAGTAAGTAGTAGAGAGAGGCAGAGATATGCTGTAACTTCCTATCCCTGCCTCTTTCCACACACAGTGACCCCTACTGGCCGGTGCTGGTATTGCAGAGTAATCTCCATTTATTCTGAGAAAAATACATGCATTTGTATTGCCGGTATTACTGCGATACCGACACGGCCAGGCAGCCTCAAATACCGGCTGTGACAGTAAAATACCAGTCAGGTGGCAAACCTAAGAGTAGTGTGTAAAAAAAAAAAAAAAAAATATTTTTTTTTTTTTTTTTTTTCAATGGGCCTATTCCATGGGCCTGGGCCTGGAGCTGCAGCTCCATCAGCCCCTATGTTAATCCGGCCCTGGCCAGAACCATAAGTCCAGCCCTGCAGAAGCTGGATTTCATAATTCTGCTGATCAGGATGGCAAACCGTCGTACCAGCATACTATTAAGCAAGCTGTAGTGGTTATGATAGTTGGCGTAACCCTTTAAGAACAATACTGTAGGGATAGGAAGGGAAACACAGTTAAAGGGACTCTCCAGGCAGAGGATTTTACTCACCTGGTTCCAGCGCCGGGAGCCTCGTGAAGCCGCGCCCCCTATTTCATAAAAATGACGAAATAGGCGGGCGCGAGCAGGGAGCAATCAGATGCTTCCATTCATGCCGCCCTCTGAAGTCCTAAGCGCACTACCGCGCAGCCGCGTGGTGTGCGCGGCCGCTAGCTGAGCTGACTGACAGCTCAGCTCGTGGTCTTTGCCCGCCCCCTCTCCTCTGCTGACAGGCAGAAGAGAGAAGGTGCGCACATAGTGCCTTCTCTCTCCTGCACATGTCAGATGTATTTTAATACGTCTGACGTGTACAAGGCCTTTTTAGGGCCCTGCATGATAGGAAGTCCCTCTGGTGGCCGTCTGAGTGACGGCCACTGGAGGTATTCCTATCAATCAATGTAAACACTGTATTTTCTCTGAAAATACAGTGTTTATATTAGATTGCCTGCAGGGAGCTATAGATCATACCTGAACAAATACATTAAGCTGTAGTTGTTCAGGTGACTATAGTGTCCCTTTAAATGCTGTGTGAGGGCATCACAACTGGACAAAAATGGTGATGAGAACTGATAGTTGTTGATAGTTGTATATATTTTAAGATGGGTTTAGGTCAAATGAGGCCAGAATAATTTGAAGGCTGTTTCTCTGTTTTGCTGCAGAAAGTTATAACATGATGATCATAAGAGTTAGAATCAGTTTATAGGTTTCTAAAACATCAAGATATTAGTCAATCCACAGGAGAATGGTAGGGAGCTCGGCTCGCTGTCTGAATCAAAAGTAAGATAATGAGCAGTGTAAAGGGAGCAGAACTAATTGGAACATCTCTCTGGATATTCAGGTCTGCTAAAATGAAACTCTGAAAAATATAAATGAGGAAACCACAATGGTACATGGTGATGCAACAGATGGGATGTATCCAGTGAACAATAGATGACTGCAATTAGAGGAGTTTAAAAAGCATAAACTTTAGAAGGATAAGCACAGAAAAGAACATGTACAGAATGTTGCAAAAAGTGATTGTTAATGTCAACATCTAGAGATATGACTTTAAAGCAAGAACGTAAAACTCGCGGCCCACATAGACCATCTTTGCGGCCTGGCGAGCCACGAGTACATGCTGGTGTTATAGCAGAGTAGGCAATGTCCCCAGATTGCAGGTGTCTACTATGCTAAAACTTACTCAGCCGGGGAGTAGGGCCAGCGAGGGAGCTCAGTGTTCCTGCTCCTCATTGCTCCCTCACCCGCGTCGTCTGTAATAAAGCCGGGCGCCGGAATATGACATCATATTCCGGCACTCAGCATCACTAAACTCTGCAAGGGAGCAGATAGAAGGACTGCAGGGAGAGGCCCCATATTGGCTCCAAAAGGTAGGGAGCAATAAAGTAAAGTATGTGTGCAAGAATGTGTAAGTGTGTGTGTGGGTCCGTGTCAGCGTGTGTGTGTCTGTCCGTCAGTGAGTATGTGTATGTGTCTGTCTGTCAGTAAGTATGTGTTTGTCTGTCAGTGTGTCTGTATGTGTGTGTATGTCTGTCAGTGAGTGTATGTGTGTGTGTCTGTGAGTCTGTGTGTGTGTCTGTCAGTGTGTGTCTGTCTGTCAGTGTGTATGTGTGTGTCTGTCTGTTAGTAAGTATGTGTGTGTCTGTCAGTGTGTGTGTGTGGTCCTTGTGGGCCGCAAGTTTGTCATGCTTGCTTTAAAGGGACAGCACCAAAATAAGTTTAGTTTATTGAAGCAGTTTGGGTGTATAGATAATGCCTCTGCAGTCTCACTGCTCAATTATCTACCATTAAGGAGTTAAATAAGGTTGGTTTCTGTTTATGCAGCCCTAGCCACACCTGCCTCCTACTCAACTCTTAATATTGCTTTTTTCTGGATTGCAGAATGGCTAAATCAGTTAGGCAGATTAGATTTAGGAGGTTTATTCACTAAACAACAAATTGCAAAATTAATGCTAAAAAGCTGTGATTATAGGTGATAAGAAGTTTATCCACATTAAAAAAATTTGCCTAAATTTTGCACTTCAGTTCTTAGTGAATACACATCAGAGAGTGCACAGGGCCTGATTAAATCTATAATGAGAGCTATTTTGTGAAAGGAATTTAGAGATAGATATACAAAATGCAATGAGAACAGATAGACAGAAAATAGAATATGTTTAACCCCTTAAGGACCAAACTTCTGGAATAAAAGGGAATCATGACATGTCACACATTTCATGTGTCCTTAAGGGGTTAATAGGCACAAATACATACATTCTCAAATTCAGCTATAGTCACAACTTTAATATATTCTCTTGAAGTGTGATCTTCAATCAAAATCTATAGAAACTGACTCAGAAACACAATTGATAGTCTTCAAATATGCTTCTTTCTTTTACTATCAATGGTTCACTTCCCTACCTCCTGTACTCACTCAATCCCCCCCTCACTGCCTCCATTTATTCTTAGCAATAATTTTTTTTTTAATATTGTAAAAGCCCTCCCTCCACTCCTTGGCTCTGAGGGCATGCTCAGGGAAAAATCTCCAATCAAATGCTTCTCATAGAGAAGCTTTTGATTGGGCCGCAGATGATGACATCAGATGGGGAGTTGAAATGAAGGAGTAGGGCCTCACCAGGAACTGGACTCCAGGTAAGTTTTTTTTTTATCTATTCCACAACTCCATATGTTTCTTAATTAAATAAAGGTGTTGGAGAGGTTCAGTAGTGCCCAATACTGCATAATAAAGAGAAAAATTGATTGATAAGAAACAGGTTATAATAATCAGCCTGCTGCCACTAAAACTGCAAACCTTAAACCATTAACATGTCTATGGACAATTTTCCTACAGACGCTTATTGGCACAGCCAGCTTGGAAAATTTCTTGTACCCAGGTGAATGCACAACAACAACAACAACAACATAAAACAGGACAGACAAAATCCAGCAGCCTCAGAAATCCTGGCCAGTTGACAGAAAAATCCAAAATCTTCTTAACTAAACACAAATAACACTAATTACTATCATAAGTAGAACATGCGGTCTAGATCTGAATTTGTGAAGAACAACAAACATGATAGTACCAAAAGTAATGTCTAATTAATAAGCAGTTATGATAAACACATATAAGAATAATCACAAGCCATTAAACCTTTGGCTACAAAATGAATTGTTTTACCATTTTACCCCAATCATGACAGGGAGTTTGACTAATCTCTTTTTATCAGTGGTATTTAACCCTTTTACCAGGAACTCTAACTGGGTTGATAACTAAACTCTGAATTTTCAATAATTAATTCAGAATGATATAATTAAGGTAAGAATAGCTGATCTGGAAAAACTCTCCAACTCAGCAATAGTCATAACTTGACTATTGTTGCCTCAATTTTGCCATTCAGAATTTACGAAAAAATCTGAGTTTAGTAAATAACCATTTTCGGATGTGTATGGATTAAACGTGGTGACCCACTCTTTAAAATTGTGCAGTTACCAACTGTCCACGTTCTGTACTATTGACCATAAAATACCTTTTGCAGGAAACCATAATTTGACTGTTCCCATTAACCAAAGGGATCTCCACTACAGTGGGAGAAGAGCTACTGTTATAGTAAACAACTTATAGAGGCCAGTTGCCTGACTATGCAGCACTATGCAAGCCTGTTCATGTAAGATTTACACCTAATGTTCACAGGTGTCATTTGGAGAGATTACAACATTGGATAGACAGTTATGCAATTAGTTAGCTCTTTGTGCATGGTCCTTGTGCCCTCAGCACAACATGAACACGTCTGATGATGTGCTCACACTGTGCTATCTGGGGACTGTTTCCAGGTGTCTCTATATTCAGGATAACAGGGAACTAACCCAGGATGGCTTGACCGGAGTGTAAAACCTGGGTTGTCCAGATCCAGAACAATTGGCTTTACAAACAAGTAACAATAAGACTTTTTTTCCTCCAAGCTAGTAAATGTCAATGATGTTTTGTTCGTTATACAGTACAGTATATAAATACCCAGACTTGGTAGTGTTTTTTTACCTTTATTTTTACACCTCTGGTGTTTCACAGAATAATTTAGCAATTACATATCAGAAGAGACATTTACAAAGGTAAAACCACGAGACACTCAGGAAATTGAAAAAGGAATGTAAGGCCAACATAGCTTAATAGAAACTATATCTGAGTTAGAGATTTGTTTTACAGTTCTGTTATATTGAAATGTGCCATTTGTCGATTTTCTACACTTCCCAGTTTAGAGCATAAACACATCAGGCAAAAACTGTTAATAGTGAGGTATAGGTTTAATGACAAACACATCAGCGTTGATTTTTAATTATATAGTAATGAATGGTATTTACAGAAAATAGATTTAAAATGTATTACATTTGGTCCCTCCCATACCAGTTATCTCAGTGAATATAGCTATTGAAGGACTGGAAAAAGATAAATTGTGAACGTAAGAGATAATCTCTATCTCTCAATTTTAAGGCAATATCAGCTGCGCTATTTTGTTGGAACGTATTATTACACAATCTCTGAATCTATTCCTTTCAATGTTTAAGCCTCAAAACTCATCTCTAAAAATGCTTAATAATCATGCAACAAGTCAAAGTCTAAGATAGCCACATCTAGCGAACAAATAGTTATATAGGGATAATGTTTTCTGAACAATCACCCATAAATTATCTGCAAATTGGTAGGGGTGAAGCTAAAAAGTTAAAGGGACACCATAGTCACCTGAACAACTTTAGCTTAATGAAGCAGTTTTGGTGTATAGAACATGCCCCTGCAGCCTCACTGCTCAATCCTCTGCCATTTAGGAGTTAAATCCCTTTGTTTATGAACCCTAGTCACACCTCCCTGCATGTGACTTGCACAGCCTTCCATAAACACTTCCTGTAAAGAGTGCCCTATTTAGGCTTTTTTTTATTGCAAGTTCTGTTTAATTAAGATTTTCTTATCCCCTGCTATGTTAATAGCTTGCAAGACCCTGCAAGAGCCTCCTGTATGTGATTAAAGTTCAAATTAGAGATTGAGATACAATTATTTAAGGTAAATTACATCTGTTTGAAAGTGAAACCATTTTTTTTTCATGCAGGCTCTGTCAATCATAGCCAGGGGAGGTGTGGCTAGGGCTGCATAAACAGAAACAAAGTGATTTAACTCCTAAATGACAGGGAATTGAGCAGTGAAATTGCAGGGGAATGATCTATACACTGAAACTGCTTTATTTAGCTAAAGTAATTTAGGTGACTATAGTGTTCCTTTAATTTATAGCTACTGTCTTCAACACCAACTTGTATAGTAATTGATAACACCCTTAAAGGTCAATAGCATCCACAGGTGATATTTGCCACCAAAATGAAAAACATTTAATATATTCATAGCCTTGTTATTTTATAATTTCATCAAAAGAACAAGGATAATTTTACTAGTTTTAATTCTCAAATACTGAATTTTGGTAACAAAGACAGTTTAACTACAACAGTGTAAGCACAACATCAAGTATGCTATTAATTGCAATTTAATGAACTCAGTGAAGAGTAGCGAATGCAGCAATTAAAACAGAGAGTTCAAATAAAGAAAGTCACCCCAATTAAATTTTTGGTTCTGTGTTAGTAAGAAATTAATCATTGCTCATAAATGTAACCATATTGCATATGAATAAAAGTTGGACTTCTATCTGGATATAAAAGACTGATCACAGATTGATACTGTACATTTATTGACTGTAGCCTGTGGTATAGCTAGATTTTCTTTGTCAATATGTTGTTCAATACTCTTATTTGAGATTCAATACAATTTCTAGCGCAATATTATGTGTTTATGAACATACTTTTTCGGGCACATAAATGTACACTCTCATATATGCATATATTTATCATAGGAACATGACCAAATGAAATCTACAGACCGTATTTGCCGACAACTTCTATACCATCTTACACCACACTCCAAGTGGCATCGGCATAGCCTCCATCGCAGGAAGAGCCTAGCATGGTATGAAGGGCAATAAAGGGTGTATAAGAAATGTGCATTCCTTATTATTATTAGTAGTATTTATAAAGAGTCAACACAATCTGCAGCGCTGTACAATGTGTGGAATAACAGATAGGTATTTGTAACCAGATGAGTTGGACGCACAGGAACAGAGGGGTTCAGAGCCCTGTTCACATGAGCTTACATTCTAGAGGGAGTGGGGTGTAGTGCCGGAAAAGGTAATGGTAGGGTAGAAACGTAGGTTGCTAGAATAGTTTTCAATGAGGGCTTAGTGTTTTTTTTTGTTTTGTTTTTTGGATGACTGTTGCAGGAGAGGAAGCAAAGTTCGGGAAGGGAAAGCTTTTATGTAAAATATCCATTTTTGTAGCTATTTGACTCACTGTGCATACTAACATATGAAAAGATAAATAAACATACAATTTTAAATGGTTAATAATATTATATACCAGTGCTGCTGGATTCTGGCATCATAGTCAGGGCTTTAGAGTGGATGTAGAATTAAAACCAACGTGTATTTCAATATATTTCTGTAATGGTGGATATGTGCAAACTGAGAGAACAGTTTCTTGGAGTAGCAAAAGCATTTCTAAGTATATGATCATAACAATTAAAAGGTTAATTATCAATAACATGAGTCAAGTATTTAGGCACTATTTCCTAAGTAATGACTTTTATTATTGAGATTATCTAAAATCATGTTTGGAATGCCAATAGCTATATGAGCTCAAAGTCATAAAGATAACAGTTGAAAAGAATGATAATAATTCTTCAGCTATAAACTAGTTTCAAAATGCACACCTTACAGGCAGAAAATGTTGATGACATTTGTTGCATTTAGTTTACAAACATTTTTCTTGTTCCTTATTAAGTTTTCCTAAACTAAAATGTTTTGTTCTCATTTGAGCAGCCTGAAGAACAGCCTGCTGCAGAAGCAAAATTCTGAAACTCTGGATCTGTCTGGTATCCCATTGTCCCCCCGTGATGTACAGCGTGTTTCCCTCTACTTGCAGAATCAAGGAGACAGTCTCACCAGTGTGGACCTGAGTTTCACTGAACTCACAGATGGTACTCTGGAGCTGGTCTTGCCCACTCTTGCAACTCTCACCAACCTCACACACCTGGCACTCAATGGGAATCGCCTTTCTTGTTGCACCCTGAAGGAACTCAGTGAAGCCATGAAGGACAGTGCCAACTTTCCTTCGCTGAGCTGGGTGGACTTGGGCAATAATGTAGATATCTGCTCCATGCCACAGCCACTGCTCCTGGGGTTGAGGAGACGCTTGTGCCAGCAGAATCTTCTTCCTACCATCCCTGAAGCTCAGGATGGTGATATGTCAGAGGGAGGGTTTCCTATCCCTTTTCAACAGCTGCCCTGGGACAGGTGAAATCCCTGGCTGTAGCATTCATGGTGATTGTAACTTAATCAACTTAAAAAGTACTTTTCCTCCTCACACCTGTTGAAACCACCTTAAATAAAGCAGAAAGTGAGTCTCACACTTGCTCTACCACAGTCCTGCCTTCATCCACCAAGGGAATTTGCAAAACACAGGTGCCCCATGGAATCATTCAACTGTACAGCCTGGGTGAAGAACCCAATGGCAGGCAAGGAGGAGAACATGAGAGATCGGTTCCTGCTTCATCACCGCCTGTTCTAATCTCTGAACAAAAGGGACCAGGAATCACAGACGGGCAGAGCCAGACCTGCTGTGTCAGGAATATTAGGAAAAGGGGTGGGTACACAAGAAACAAGGGAGGGGGCATCAGCTATCCTAATGTGGCATGATTGTTGAGCAAAGGCAAAGGGATGTCTGGAACGACCTAAGAATAAACTTGCTCAGTACACTGGTTAACAGTATAGAGTATAAACTCAAATAATGGACTGATGTCTGCAGAGACAGATACACCATGGACTTTAAGTAAATTGCAGTGCCTACAGGTATCCCACTTCCAATCACACAAAGGATTATTTACACAAACGATTTATGGGTGCCACAGATTTAACATCTCACCAATCTGTAACCTCTGTACTTAGAGCAGAAGACTGGCCATTCTTACAATTTGCCATTTGTGACTTTCCAGTGTAAAAGGGGTTTTTCTAATATTGTACAACCTTCAAATATGCATTAAATTAGTTGTTTAACTTGTTTGTATGAAACAAAATATTGTACAATTATTACTCTGTCTCTTGATGAGTCTGACAAACAATTCCAGCTTTGTAACAGGGCTACGCAGGAGACTGCTATGTAAACTGCCAGTCCGTCAGCTGTTGTGAGTGACAGACAGAACCTTAGCAACTTGGCCGGTTATCAAAATCCATTTAAGACAAACAAAGCTGACCTATTCACAGTTACAATGGTGAGCATTACGGCTCTGAAGGTTTCAGAAATCTGGAGATGAATAGAAAACTATTTCAGTTGCTTAGTGGGGCTGTGACTCACTTCATTGAGGCAGATGTGAGTTATATAACAAAATGTAGGACTTGTTTTGTGCTCATTTACTCTTACTGACAAATCTTGGAGTTATATGGTTAAATTCAGTTAGGGTCCCTTTAAAGGAATTCAGAGCAATGCAGTTTTTATTTGGCAGTGGCAAACATAAATCTAGATTGCCATGTAATAATAATTTGGAACTAGGAGATGTACTGTTAGAATGGCATCATTACTATTAAACATTGCAGTTTAAGTGGCAACAGAAATACAATACAAATCCAGAGTATGCAAAAAAAAATCATGCCAAGGTAGAGAAACAGTTATACATACGTCTGTGAGAAAGTGCATTTTGTAACACTTACATAATATGTGAACATTCCATTTGTCAGGATTTTGTCAGAATTGTGTGCCTGTGTGAAACGGTATAATAGTTTTCTCACAGAGTAATCCAATAAGAGCCATTAGCAGACCAAGCTGCCAAAATATAAATTAAATCGTGATGGATAATCTTGGCAAGCCAGATGTTCTTTCTCACTCTTTTGTGCTACTGAACTTCCTGTACAGTTTGATTAGAAGAGAATCGTACGCATCTAATGTGTCAATAGATTAATCACTGCAGAAATGAATGTAAGCAAATTGTGTTTTGTAATGAACTGGGCAAAACAAGAATAAACATTTTTTTCCCATAATCTCCATTTCATAATATATATGTTTAATCCACAGGATTTTTAACGTGGAAATATTACGGCTCTACCATCTAAATTTCAAAATGAATGATATTTGCTAGGAAATGTACAGCACACATTACTAGGAGGATTTATGGGGGCGTTTACTTATATTTAAAGAGTACTCCAAGAGCCATAACCACTACAGCATGCTGTAGTGATTATGGTATCAGTACTTCCCTGGCTACGCCCCCCATTGTAAGGAGCCAGATTGCTTCCTATGGAGTGCCAGAAGATCCCTATACAAGTTAAGACCTGTGGTGCAGGGTTTGTTCATTGAAAGAAAACAATCATCTGACACTGTCAGCCAATGAGCTAGCCATGGACTGCAGGGTTTGCTCAGAGAGTTAACAGAAGCTCCTAAGCGTGAGCTTACTGCTCTCCATAGGAAGTAGAGGAGGCAAGGAACAGAGCCCGGTGGACCCCAGGGATAAAGGTAAACCATGCTAAAATTGTTTAGCAACTTACAGTGGAGCATGGGAGGATGAGGCACCCTTGGCCTCTACAGTGGGTATGGTATTTGGAGTTTTCTTTTTTTTGTGAATCGGGCTGTGTACAAGCTGGAGGAGAAGAGAGATGTATGTGCAAATTGTGCATAAGGCTCAAACTGGAAATTCATGAATGGCAAAAGTAGGTAATAAAATTACCCTTGGATGTCACCAGTGATGTATTTGCTGCAAAGCAAACAAGGCATTTGCTTTGGGCTGCACTTTCCAGGGGGCGGCAAAAAACGCCGCCCCAAATGCCCGGGCAAATACCTTGTTTGTCAGGCGGCTAGGCTGCCCGCCTTGGAATTCAGCTAGCCGCCCACTGCCTGCATGCCTACCTCCCTCCCTGCCCAAGCAGCCCGGCCAGCAGCCCCACTTGACTCCAGGTAAAAAATCCCAAACGTCAGGCTGGGTGGGGGGCATGTTAGGGGAGTGTGTGTGTCTGTGTCTAGCTGGCAGTGTGTGTCTGTGTTTGGCTGGCTGGCAGTGAGTGTGTGTGTGGCTGTCAGTGTGTGTATGTCTGTCAGTGTGTCCAATGGTATATTTAGGTTTTGTGCTTCCCTAGCCACCCCCCAAGTTAAACTTTCCCCACCCCTTCCTGTCATGGCCGCACTTTGACTGACAGACGCACACTCACTGACAGACGTACACACTCACTGATAGATGCATACACTCATTGACAGAAACACTCTCATATACACTTACAAACAATGACATACACACACTCACTGTTTTGACACACTGATAGACAGACATACACTTACTCGGATACACACTCACTGACATACACACAGTCTCACTGACAGACGCATGCACTGACTGACTGACACATACACACTGACTCACAGACGCACGCAGTGACTGACCGATACATACACACTGACTGACCAACACACACACATTCACTGACAGACACATACACTCACTCAAATTCACTGACACACACATTCACTGATACACACACACACTCACTCACATTCACCGACACACTCACTGACAGACACACACACTCACTCACATTCACTGACACACACACTCACTGACAGACACACACTCACTCACATTCACTGACACACACACACTCACATTCATTGACACACACATTCACTGACACACACTCAATCACATTCTCTAACACACACTCACAATTATTATTTATTTTTTTAAATTTAAATCCACCCAACCTCCCTACTTTTGGGATAGCTGGGTGGATTTCTCAACTGGGGTCCAGTGGGGCTGCTGGGCATGGAGGCGGCCAGACGTACAGACGGGCAGAGGTTTCCTGGGCGGGCGGCCGACAAGGGAGCACTTTCCCCTGAGCTCTCTGCTCAGCTCCCTCGCCCGCATCAGAGTGATGTCGGGAGCTGGTATATGACATCATATTTCGGCTCCTGGCATTACTGTAGGTCGCACAAGGGAGCTGAGCAGAGAGCTCAGGGGAAAGTGCTCCCTCGCCGCCCGCCCGTCTGCTCAAAGGTAGCCAGTCAAACAGTGTATTTGCTTGGGCATTTGAGGGCGGCGTTTTTTGCCGCCCCCTGAAAAGTGCCTACCAAGGCAAATGCCTTGTTTGCCTTGTGGTACACACACCCCTTAGTGTGTCTGTATATCTGTCAGTGTGTTTGTATGATTGTCAGTGTGTGTGTATGAGTGAGTGTATGTCTGTCAGTGTGTGAGTGAGTGTGTCTGTGAGTGAGAGTGAGTATGTCTGTCAGTGTATGTCTGTGAGGGAGCCTGTGTGTCTGAGTGATTGTGTGTGTGTGTGTGTGTCTGTCTGCCTGTAAGTGTATCTGTGAGTGTGTGTGTCTGTGAAGGAGCCTGTGTGTCTGTGAAGGAGCCTGTGTGTTTGTTTGATTGCTTGATTGATTGATTGTGTGTTTCTGTCAGTATGTGTCTATGAGTGAGTGTGTGTGTCTGAGCGATTGTGTATGCCTGTAAGTGTGTGTGTCTACATCATTGTGTGTGTGTCAGTGATTGTGTTTGCCTGTCAGATTGTGTCAAATCAGTGTGTGTGTGTATATCAGTGTATCTGAGTGTGTGTGTGTGTCTGTCAGTCAAAGTGTGTGTGTTAGTCTTTAACAGGAAGAGGTGTGACATTGACAGAAAGGTGTGGGGGCAAATGTAAATTAGGGGCTCCCCGAGTTCCGTCATGCCTAGGGCAGCACAGATCCAAAATACACCACTGGATGTCACTAATCTAGTGGGCATTCTATAGCTGCAGTGATTTTTATAAATTGTTGCAGTTTATAAGACACTCTTGGCAGGGAGACTGGGAGCTGGATACTCTTTATACCATAACCTCTGCAAAGTTTGAACATCAGACAGTGTCCAAAACCTGGCACTTCTTCTCTACGGTCTTTCCAGCTTCTGTGCAGGGATTGAAGCAGTGAAGACCATAGAGACTAACTGTCATTTATCAAACAATGTCTGACCCCAGGATCCTGTCATATATTAAAGATAGGACTGAGTTTCTCATTTCTTTACATATACTTCATTGAAAAAAAATCGTATTCCTTTCAAAACTTGATGAAAGAATTATTATATTAAAAAATAGTTTTGAGGTGACAGTTGTTTTTTACAGATTATTCTTTTTATATTATGTCATGTTCTTTAATTGATACATTATGTAGAGATCCATTTTAAGCACTCTTGTATTATATACATAAGCTAGCATGCAGTTATGTCATACATGATTGTAAAACAGCTGGTAAAAATAAACCTGAATGGAGAGAATGCACCAGGAGTGTCTTGTTTATGCAATAGAAATACAGAGATAAGTTATCACTGTAAACATTTTAGGATTAGCAGATGGGTTGTGTCTACAGATTACATGCTCATCCTATTACAAATAAACTTCTCTCCCTTTGAGTAGATTCTTGAAAGAAAGCAATGGTTTTGCCAACCTGCAGAGAAATAGTAAAAAAAACCTGACAGGATGTATTCACTAAATTCCACATTTTAGCAAGTGAAATATGAATTGCAAAACCTAGGCTAAAATAGCCATGCAGTAGCTGAGAAGAATTTTTTTAAATTCGGATTTGATTCAGTAAAATGTAGAGTTTAAAGAAAAACTCTGCGACCCGTATTTATTAAACAAGAAATTGTGGTGATTGAACACTAAGAGGATTATTTACTAAAGTGAAAATTCACTTGAAGTGATAACAAATTCAAGGTAAATATGGCCGACCCCGAGACATTTTCTAAGTCAGCTTCTTTGGCTTTACATTTGAAATTCGCTTTAAATTCTCACTGTAGTGAATACTGGATATATTTGAAATTTTACAGGGTTATTCACTAGTAAAAATTGGCGAGAATTATTATTATTATTATTATGTTATTATTTATATAGCGCCATCGAATTCCGCAGGTCTTTTCAATGGGTGGACGAACGGACATGTAGTTGTAACCAGACAAGTTGGACACACAGGAACAGAGGGGTTGAGGGCCCTGCTCAATGAGCTTACATGCTAGAGGGAGTGGGGTAAAATGACACAAAAAGATAAGGATAGTATTAGACTAGTGACAGCTGCAGAAGAGGGATCAGTCAGGAGCTATTAACAGTTTAATTGATAAGCTTTTATGAAGAACTACTTGTGTATAAGGGAGGATAGATAGGTGGGAGCAGCATTATGTAGCGATTTGAAAGCAAGAACCAGAATTTTAAACTGAGCTCTATATTTTATAGGAAGCCAATGTAGGGACTGACAGAAGATTGAGGCATGGGAGGTGCGGGCGGACAGGAAGATGAGCCTCGCTGCCGCATTCATTATGGACTGTAATGGCGCAAGTTGGGAGCACGTAAGACCACTGAGAAGCGGATTACAGTAGTCAAGGCGAGAAAGGACAGTGGAATGGACCAACACCTTAGTCGCATTTGGCGTTAAGTAGTAGTAGAATTTATTTTATAGGAAGCCAATGTAGGGACTGACAGAAGAGTGAGCCATGGGAGGTGCGGGCGGACAGGAAGATGAGCCTCGCTACCGCATTAATTATGGACTGTAATGGCGCAAGTTGTGAGCACGTAAGACCACTAAGAAGCGGATTACAGTAGTCAAGGCGAGAAAGGACAGTGGAATGGACCAACACCTTAGTCGCATCTGGCGTTAAGTAGTGGTAGAATTCAAAATGAATTTCAAAAGTGAGGCCAAAATAGCTAAAATGAACACAGAAATGACATGGAGATTTTTTTTAAATTTACTATTTTGGTGTTTTGGCCTAAATTTTTAAATTCCCTTTGAATTCCCAGCAATTATGACTTCAGTGAATAATCCCGTCTGGCTGACATAGCTTATGTGGAAAAATGATCTAACCCACTATAAAATACAGTGTTTAGTTAATAAACCACAGAGGGTTGGAGTCTTGCCCTATATTTCAAGATATATATAGAAACATAGAAACATAGAAACATAGAATGTGACAGCAGATAAGAACCATTCGGCCCATCAAGTCTGCCCAAGCATATACAGTTGCAAGAAAAAGTATGTGAACCCTTTGGAATGATATGGATTTCTGCACAAATTGGTCATAAAATGTGATCTGATCATCATCTAAGTCACAACAATAGACAATAACAGTCTGCTTAAACTAATAACACACAAAGAAT